AGTCTATTGACTGACAGAACAGGAGTTCGAGTTCCAGTGTTCACACTACAATATATTGTCTGTTCTCTTCAACACATGAAGAGCTTCCAGTGTACTGCACTCCCCAATTCGTGTCCTTCACTCTCCAATGCCCATAACCCAGCTCTTATGTCCAGTTAAATGTCTTTGTTACTGTTTTGAATCCATGTTAGTTGAAAATGGTTGAAACACCGTATAGCTTTGTAATCATAATTTTTTAACCACACTAGTTGTCTAAATCCGTAAATGTCAAAAAAGTTCTTTTCCGTAAACTTTACGGTTAATTAGATGGACAGATTGCAACTGGTTATTTTACCATAATTTCAGAATGAAAATTCTAATAGTGTATTTGCACAGGAGCAGTATTGCAGTCTATATTTGGATGAGTAAGTTGATTACTTCGAGCGTACAATATAAGAGAAAGCTATTTTATATTGTTTTACCAAAGCAAGTCTGGATTTTCATTGCTTTTCCTCTTATTTTATAGGGAATGCTAGATGTGTAAGAGATGTGACAATTAAACTATTTCTCGCAAGCTGTGGACCATGATTAAAAGTGAGTACACAGATGCATATTGGTACATAGTTTCAAGAATTGGAGTTATTTAAATAAAAGGCAGAACCATCTCTCCTATCCAAGCTGAAGAGTTTGCGCGTTTGCTACTTAAGAGAAATGGCGAGCATTGCTCATATGCTAGGACATATGTGGAATATTTCCTCCTCTGGGAAAGATTACGCAAGCTGAGAAAAAAACCACGGTCAAAACAACCAGAATATGATTCAATTTACCATGTTTGATACAATTTACCACAATTTACCATGTTATGATACAATTTACCATGTTTCGGGCTCTATGGTTACACCAAAAAAGCTCGGCAATTTTTACTGAAGCGCTTTGATAATGATTTTGGTAAAATTACTTACAAAATATGGTTTTCTAATGAGCTATAAAATTTGGTGAACCGTTCTAGAGAAACTACTAAATGAACAGTTTAAATACTATAAATTTTTTTTTTAATTTACTAGATATACATATTTTTTAAGCAGAAATGTCTTTGCTATACAGTGCGGTAATTGTACCTGAATTTTATTTTCTCGGTTCACAAAAAAAAGAAAAAGAATCCGGACAAAATATGTCGGCTTTCCAAAGGTCGCCAATCCTCTTAAGAAAGAGTTAATATTTTTCTGATCCTAATTTTTTTTTAAAATAATTAATTATTTTCTTTTTTCTGGTTCTATAATAAAGTTGAAATATTGACTTTTAATGGAATGATATTTATTTACATAATCCTTATAACAATTTTATTTAAGTGCAATTAATATTTTTAACGTTTTAATTGTAGCTATTATTGATAAGAATGATCTATCCTACCCCTAAGTGCAATCTCTTCAACTCCCCCCCCCCTGTTAGAATGTGAGACAGAGCTTTCTTGGTTTTATTACAGATAATGTTTAAAATTAAAGCATAACAGCAAAATAATGAGGAAAATGACTAAAAACAAATGCAGTCAACATTATTAATAGTTAATTTAGCTAAATATTATTTCTTTTATTAGTTTGCACAATTGCGCGCAAGCTTCCTCAGCTTTACTTTTTTTCATATGGATTGTACTATGGCACAATAGAATAAATAATTTACAAGTAATCCTCTCTTGTTGTGAGAATTACTTTTAAGATATCCGTCGTAAGAAACTCAACATTTAAGGCATCCAACGCAATATTATTTGTACTACTAAATATGCAATAAACAATTGTATTAAAACTGCACGTACTGAGCTCTTCATGTTTTATTTTTGAGAAAGTAAAGTCAATTAATTTTCTTATTTTCTAAATAAAAATCCAATCCAGTCAAAAAATATTTTATAATTGTATAGGGTAACAAACTTGGTTCTTGAAACATTGTTTGCATCTTTTTTCTCCAAATAAGAATAATTCAATTGCAATAATTCGATTCGAGGAAGTTTTTGCTGTCCGTATTGTCATCAAAAATGTAATTATTTGCACAGTAGAACATCCATTTGAAAATCAATTTTATCTGTAGTTTTATTTATTGAGTTTCTTTTGTTTTTGGTGTAAAAGAAACAGAGTTAAATCAAAACCTGTTCCTATATTCCAGATTAGAGTCCAATCCAGCTCAGCAAATACCTAGTAGTAGTATAGGGTAGCATTACAGTATTTGCCAGTTCATTTGCAATAAAATTTCCGATTTCACCAGGCAAACTGAGCCCGAAATTAACAGTTTCCTGAATCCTATCTAATAGATTTTGAGTGACGCGATAAGGAGCTGATGTGATGGCTGTTAATGTATTCCTGATGTTTCCCATGAGCTGCATTCCATCTCTCAGAGCTTTATTGAAATCTTTAGCCGTTTGATAAAAATCTTTGACAAGTGTGAGTGTTTTAGAAAGTGACAGAGTCGCCGCTCGGTTGCTTCGCTTCAGAGTGGGAAGAGCAAGGACACAATTAAATAGCAAACCATCAATGATGATCAAAGCAAACAATAATTTCAAGTTCATCTGAAAACAAGTTGAGTTTGTATTGCATCATGTGAGAAATATTTCTTTGCACACAAAAAATAAATAAATGAAATAGAAAAAAAAAATATTAAAATTTTTGTCAACAGAGTAGCAAATCATCAATGAGTTGTTTGTATTGTTTTTTTGTATTATTTGAAAAACATTACTTTGAACAGAAAAAGTAAATTAAAAATGTATATTTACACAAAATGTTTCGTCAGCAAAATAGCAAACCGTAAATGATGAGTTGTTTGTATTACATCATATAAAAAAATACTTTGCAAAAAATAAATAAGAAAAAAAATTGAAATATCAAATTTTTTGTCATCTTATTAGCAAACCAAGTTTGTATTCTATCATGTGAAAAACATCACTTTGTTTAAAAAAATAAAAAATAATATGAAATCGAAAAAATTATTTATACAACATTTTTTGACAGAAAAGAAAACAAACCAACAATGATGAGTTTGTATTAAGTCATGTGAAAAATATTACTTTTTCTTGCACATGAAAAATGAACAAATGAAACAGAAAAAAAGTATTTATACAATATAAAAAGTATTTATACAATGTAAAAAGTATTTATGTAATATTTTCTGTTAGTAAAATAGCAAACTATCAATGTTGAGTTTGTATTGCATGAAATGAAAAACATGACTTTTGCACAAAAAATAATAATGAATATATAAATATAAAAAAAATACGAAATGTTTCTGTCTTACCAGCTAGATATCAATGATGAGTTTGTATTGTATCATGTGAAAAACATTACTTTGCACACACAAAATAAACAAATGAAAGCGAAGAATATATACAATATTTTTTGTTAATAAAATAGAGAACTATTAATGTTGAGTTTGTATTGTATCATGTAAAAAACCTGACTTTGCCCCAAAAAAAGTTGAAATAAAGAAAGTGTTTTTCACAAAATTCAGCAAAATAGCAAACCACCAATGAGGATTGAAACCAGCACTTATTTGAAATTCATCTGAAAACAAATTTAGTCGGTATTTCACTTTCTAAAAACTAATTTACGCAAAAAATTAACAAATGAATAATAAAAATATTTATACGAAAATCCTTGCTAGCAATTTTATTTAGTTTTTATTTCAGTAAACCGTTGACCATGGCTTACTATTAACAGAAACAACAAAAAACTATTGTTCAAAAACTGCTGTGCGATATCTTGACCGTCTGTCAAAGCTTATTAATTAACCGAAGTGAAAAGTTATCAAATCTATTTTACCATTAAACTCAAGTTTACCCATAAAAATTTTGAATACTGAATAACAATATTAAATTTGAAACAAAATGCTGTAATGGCAGTATACTTTTCAGAACATTCAGCCAAGAAATTACGACATTGTTTTATTTGTAGATTTTGATGAAATATTGCATAGATAACGCTTTTCATTTTAAATTTCAACCAATTAACTTCTATTGACTCTATATTTTCACATGACATCACGCTATGTAATTTTTGTTAGAATTTTTTACACGAATAAATATAAAATTTAATACAGATTTTTATCATTGTATGATAATTATTTTTTCACTTAAATTGATTTTTTTCATCACCTGATTTGGATTTTTTCATGCACATTGAATCTGTCAAAAAAATTTTTTTAAGAATAATTTATAAAATATTTGAGAGATCTACATGTCTCCAAAGTTTTTTTTTACAAAAATAAATAAATTTTCGCAAATATAATCGCACTTAAAATCGCTAATATTCATACGAAAAAATAAAGAATCTAGTTACTTACAAATAAGTTTATTTTTTCTCCTTTTTAAATTATAACATTGTTATTAATTACATCATTAAATGAGTCATAATTGTTTTATGCATACAATTATAAACTAATTAATAAAAATGGTTCAAGATAAAAATTAAAATCCAAAATTTTTGTGAACATAAATATTTTTTTATTTGGTTGTAACTCTAAACAAGTTATATAGGTAACATAATATAAAATTATAATAAATTAAACCATTAGTTTTTACAAGTATTCAAGTTATTCCTTTTAAAGATTAGCAGTTGACCTAAAATATTGCAAGTTATTAAGTATGCAAAATATTTGAAACAATAAATAATGGATGTAATTTGAGTTTTTTGTACAGCTTATAAAGTATTTTTGAAAGAGATCTAAGATGATAGTTTTTCGTTTTTACTAATATCTTACATATGCTTTAAAATTTCTTCATACAGGAAACTGAAACTACACCCCTTATTTATTACTAGATATCTTTACATGAAATTATATTTGTTGGTTCTTATGAAGTTTAACTAAAAACTTTCAAATCCATGTAAGATGCTAATAATAAATAAAGAACAAGAAAAGAGTTTCTTCTATATATTGAAACAGAATTACATTTTTAAATACATTATGTTTGCGTATTAGATTTTATCAAACGATATTGGGTGTAATTAAAAAAAAACATTGTTCATAGAATAGACAACAACGAATAACTCAGAGAATTTATTAAAAGCATAAGATGCATACACTTAAGTTAAATAAAATTCTTTAGATTTTCATCAACTTTTACTAATTACAAATAGTTTATAGATTTCAGGTATAATTTATAAGTAATCAAATCTTAGGCTTAAGAGACTGTTAGGCCTAAGACAATATTCAGGAAGGAACATAAAATAATGACATGCAATATTTAGACAATAATGTAATGTAATAACAGACTGCAATATTTGGTGAGAAGCGTCTTTTGACTTTTTTCATTAAAATTATTATCATGAAAACATAATTCTAAAACGAAACAGCATCAAAAGTTTTATATTCATGTATAGGAAATATTCATATATTGTCATGTGTGGTTGTAAAATAAATATTTTTTTTCGAGTTCATATCAATTTTTATTTATTACATTTAATCTACTTTTGTTTATTTCATTTCTGTTCATTAATACAAGTTTCAATAACAATCGAAGTTTGGTGAGAAGTCAATTTAGAACACTTCTTGAAGCTTTGTAGGGAAATATTTGTCAACGTATTACATTATTTTACTTGGTTACTGATTAGAAAAATTTTGAGTTTTTCGGATATCTTAAGCAACCATATTTACAAGACTATTAGCGGTGCGAAATGGAGCCAGCGCTATGGTCATTGCTGTATTAGCGATATTGATTGGTATTTGAAGTCCATCCTTTGCAGTTTTGTACATATGTCCAGCTGTATTATAAAAATCTGTTGAAATTTTGAGCAGTTTGAAAAGAGGAAGTGTTTCCCTTGAAACTCGGTTGCTTCTTTTCAATGCAGGACTAGCATTAATACAGCTGAGAATTATTCCTGAGGCGATTATTGAAAAGGAAATCATTAGCATCTTCATCTGAAAACAATTTAATTACTTGAGATAGTTGAAATGCAATATCGTGCTCTTAACTATTTACAAATTAATTGTTTGAATGTTACCATTTGAATTTAAGTTAATTTTATTATTATAATGTACACTGTTTGAAATTTCGCTAAAAAACGGTTAAATAAAAGTTTGTTTAATTAATTTTAGGCTATTCAAACAAAATAGTCAAATACTCATAAATAAGATGGTATTTGAACAGTTAGCTACACTGGTCGACGAAATTAAGAGATGGAAGGCATTTTCCCAAATATCTCAAAAAATACCGAATATAAATAAATGAAATTTGGTATGGATATAGCTTATTCCATGATAATAAAGTATGCAAAAAAAATGGAAGTGCCATTCACTGGCAAGACCTATTGCCAATAAATCCAATGTAGTCTGAACTTAAGGATAAAATATGACAACAAAAGTGAGGCTTGTACAGTGTGTGTTGCCTCTAGTATGGTGTATGGTTGCCCCTGACAGACAGACAGCATGCACAACGAGTATGCATGCTCTTAATAAGGGAGTTAAGGAGGACTTGTGGAAGACCCTCCCATTCTTCCACCAGAGCAATTTTTAACTCCAGAATGGTTCTGGGGGGAGGTTGGCGCATCGCAATAGCTCTCCCAAGAGCATCCCAAGCATGTTTAATAGGATTCAGGTCAGGGGATTTGGCTGGCCAATCCTTTCGTTGAATATCCTCGCTTTCCAGATATTCATCAACCATGAGAGCCCTATGTGGTCGCGCATTGTCGTCCATAAAAATGAACTCAGGGCCAACAGCGCCCCTGAAAAGACGCACAGAGGGCTCTAGAACCTCCTGCTTGTATCTCTGGGCATTCACGGAATCATTGTCAAACGCATGGAACGGTGTGCTTGACAATGAATCCAGAATTATATCGCACCAACTAAGCTCTTTTAATAAAGTTACTTATTTTCTTGCAGCTGGGTACTGCCAATAGTCAGTACCCAGCTGCAAGAAAATAATCTGTCAGTCTCATGACCGACTGAACGGGGCTTCGAGTCTCAACGCTGACATCGCAGTATTTCCTTTATTTCCTTCCAAACATGAAGAGTTTCCAGTGTCCTGCAGTCCCCAATTTGTGTCCTGCACCTTTAAATGCTCATTACAATTACAAAATAACATTTTCAAGTAATTGATACATTTATTATATTTATTAAACTTTAAATATTTTTTTTCCAGATATATTATAAATTTTCATCTAATTTCTAATAAGGAATTTGAAAATATTTTTGTACGTTAAATAATCTAGGCAACTTATTTTGATAAAAAAAGGTATCAAATTTGTTGTGAAATAATTCTTCTTTTGACATTTTTTGATGAAATTCTAAGCAGATTCTAAAATTTTGTGCTAGATTTCTCTTACTCTATCGAAGCTGGAATTTTCTATTGATAAAAAAACACACAAAAATATCGCGTGTTTTATTTTTTAAATTAAATCAGTGATAATTTTATCTTCTTATGAAACGTCTAGAATATCGTAAACTTTCCCTTCTACTCCACTGTTTAGAAAGAAATAACTTGGACGAAATTTTGACACCAAATATTCATATTACTAGTATATTGAACACTCATTTTGGAAGGTGTTATACTTTTATGGTTGCAAATGTTCCCTGGAAATCAAAATTGGACATTCAAACCAGTTTCTGCTCCAACAGTCAGAGTTGAAGACACTCAAAATGGGCCAAAAATAGTTTTTGAGACTTAGTTACACCACGAGAAAGGCCGCATTATTCTCCCGGTTGAATCCGAAGTTTTTTCCGTTGTTAGATTCCTCCTGGAGACAAAAATTTGAGTTAAACCTCAGAATTTTTTGTATCATCTGGAGCAAGGAGCGAAACTAAATATCAGTCGGTGAGTAGCGACTCATAAAAATAATTTATAACATGTTTACAGCTATCCCAGAAAGTATATAACCTTACGGCAACCTTGTGTCTGAGTTTTCTCTTTATTGTCACGAAAATGTTTGCACTAAAAACCTTTTTTCAAGAAAGCAAAAATATTGCAGTTGTAAACCTTTCATCCTAAAAGGATCAAAAATTGTTTTTTTTAAAGTTTTTTTAAAAAGCATTGTCACTTAGGTACACAATGACGTTTTCAGCTGACGTCACACTAGCAAAAGGATCAAATTGCATTATCCATTAAAATTTCATGACAAGATGGATTTTAGCTGAGCATACGAGACTTGGCGAGAAGAAACCTTATTATTACCTAAATTTAAGATTATTTTCACCTTAAAACTAGCTTTATTCAAGGATTTTTTCACGCTTGAAAACCCTAAGACAACCATGATTTAAGGCTTTTATATAGAAGGTTGTTTTCAAAAGTTTTGGATTAGGGTAATGCGCGTAGAATAGAGCAGTTTGTAATGCATCTCGCTTTAAGATTAGAAGGTTTACACGTAAACCGCATAAAAGCCTTTCTTCGATCTTACATTGAAGGGTTTTTGCTAAGCGAAAATAAAACCTTATTTCGATATCTGGGTATCTATATAGAAATTTCACATTAGTTTCACAACACAAATATATAGTTTTAAAGGATACAGATTCCATAATATAAAACTATTATTTTTTAAAGGAGAAAAATAGTATTTTCGAATAGTATTTATTTAATAATTTAGATTAGGTAGAGTACGGTACACCGTAAGCAAAGGGTTAAATGATTTTTCACGCTTGAAAACCCTGAATAACCTCAATATGAGGTTTTTATATTGAAGATTGTTTTCTAAGGTTTCGGATTAGGGTAATTTGCGTAGAATAGATCAGATTGTTACAGATCCGTTTTAAGGTTAGAAGAGGTTTACACGTAAACTGCCTTACAAATCTTTTTAAGTTTACAGTAAAAGGTTTTTGCTGAGTGGAAAAAAACCTTATTTTGCTATCTGGGTATACTTCTAGGGTAATGACGGTCACTTTAAAAATTGTTAGCTATGTTTTCCTGTTGATTAGAAGTATAGTTGAAATATATTAATAAATATTAAAATTATGGTGTGATATGTGGCTAAGTTATCTGTTTGTCACTCAGAGAAAATATTTTGAAAATAAAAAAATATGCTGTATTTCCCTAAATATATTGATTAGAAAAATTTTCCTCTTATAAAGATAAATTTGAGAGATATTAAACAGGTTTTTTATTTTTAAATTATATTGTTTACATTGAATAGTACTCTCAATACAAATGCCAAGAAATAAAAGAAACATGATTTGTTCATTGGTTGAACTTCTAGATACAAAGCAGTACTGTGATGATCAATCCTTTACAAAAAATTAAGGTTTATTTGAGGTTGTTTCGAGGGATCACGGTTGTTTTGAGGTTTATTTGAGGTTGTTTCGAGGGATCACGGTTGTTTTGAGGTTTATTGGAAGTTGAATTCAAACTTCTCAAGGTGTATGCAGTTGTTTTATTCCCACTTGAGGATGTTTTGAAGTTGATAGAAATCAACCTTACAGCAACCAACTTAGAGAGATTGTTTTTGAGCTGCACATTTGATTTTTTCAAAATTCCAAGAAAATAAATATGTTTGAGATGTGAATAATTTCACCGATATCAACAAAAACTACTGCTGAACTATATATGAGATTGATTTAGTGAGGTGCAAATGAGATTGAAGTTGAGGGTTATTGATGAAGTTATTTTAGGTGCGAAACATATCCTCATTTTCTACCTCAGGTGTATATTTTTACATCTTTCAATCTCAAAACAACCTCAAAAACAATTTAGCTTCTTTTAAGGAGTAGATTTTGAATTAAGTACTATTATAAAGGATTTGGACAAAAAACTCTGACCAACATTTTACATAGTTGGCAAAGTTATTGACTAGTTCGTCCAGTTAATTTACCTTTAATATAAATAAAAAATTTTTTAACTGAAACTTTTAAACTAATTCTTTGAACATTAGGCACTACTGGAAAAACTGAAATTATATATTATTTTTTATTTTACCGAGAAGAAGGTTGCGTTCTTTATAAATGCTGAAAGAGAAGCGTAACGTATAGAAACGTAACAATTTCCAGATTTCAATGACTTTTTTTAAAAAATTTTTTCCATGGCAATATGAAAAGCCAATGATGCAGACTTATAACCACTTCATAAAACATTTCAGTAAAGTAGGTTCAACAATAAAAGTGACCGCAAATATAAACTACGGCATAAATACTTAAATTGCAAACTACAAAATGTTTGAAAAAGTGTTTTAAATGCATGCATGAACCATACATATGTTGTAAATAATAAATAATGAAGCCATGTAGAATGAAATATAATTACTCAATAAATGATTTTAAAAAACAAACAGCTTCTCAAATTCTTTAGATTACTACTCTTAAACACCTCTATTACTATTATTTATCACGCATTCATATATTTATACACCATGGGTAGTTATTAGAAAAGATTTGGAACTATTTAGGCAGACTGAGAGAAAAAGTATGGTCAAAACTACCAGAATATAGTCCTTTGGTTATGATTTTGATAAAATTAACTATCAAATACTGTTTCATGATCTGTGATAAAATTTGGTAAATGTGGTTAAGTTTGGTAAATTTATCATGATATCTTAGAGAGTGGCATAAAAGCTATTTATTCGGATAAATTTATTTTCCAGTAAAGTAGCTTTTTCTAAATGTGTGGTAATAAGAACTGCAGCTTGAGTTTCGGCAAACCGTTACCATATGAATGGAACAATTGCCAAATGAATGGGTCAAACACTGTACATTTTGTTTTTATTAACGGTAATTATGTATTTTAAATTTTTTTTAACAGAAATGTCTTTACCATATAGTACAGTAATTTTACTAAAATTTTTTCTCCGTGCAAAAATATTTCATTTAAATAATATTAAGCTTTTTTTAAAAACTAAGCATTGTATGTTACTTAGTAAATTTAATTCGAAGACGTTCTAAGAATTTACTTTATAAAGTAAATTCGTAGAATTATTCCAAATTTGCCTTATTAAAATAAAATTGTAGTCCATGTTAATGCTCCAATTTCCCACGGTTTGTTTAGTACTCGTCAAAAAAGTGAATGAAATAAACGAATAATGAACCTTGTGGTGCAGCCGACATTTCTAATACAAAAGCGTTATATTTTGGCAACAATCAGTTTGCTAAAATATACAAAAAAGTTGTTCGCATACTTTATTGCTTAAATCGGCAGGAAAAAACTACACTATTACTTGGGCAACGCTCTTAATTAATTTGAAACATAGAAGTATATTAATACCAATATTACTACATAGAAGCAATAGTAACACTGAGAAAAAAGTATGGTTAAAACAAGCAGAATATATTAAAATGTATGACTCTGTGGGAACACCAAAGAGTTCGGTAATTCTAACCGGAGAGCTTTGGCAATGATTATGGTGAAATTAACAATAATATATGGTTTTATAATGTTTGATATAATTTGGTCATGATACCTTAGAGCAGTGATTCTCAACCTTTTTTTGGGGGGCGGCATACTTTGAACGATTTCGAAATTTGACGGCACACAATGAAACAAATTAGTTTAAAAGTTGTTTACTTTCCTATAATAGACTGCGTTAAATAGTTTGTGATATTAATTTTGAATGCGAAATAAAATAATATGTACTACAAAAGCACATTTATTAAGGGATTAACTGTATTTCTTTCGACTAATTTTTTATTAGTTAGTAACGGTTATTTATTTTTTTGCTAGTTATTAATTGTTAGCTTGTTTTCTATAGCTATTAAATAATATTTTTTTGTGATTTCTTGTAAACTAATTATTTTGCAGATTATTAATTGTTAGCTTAATTTTTTGTTAGTTATCCTTTGTTAATTTACTTTTATAAATATTAATTGCATAGCTTACTTTAATGATTAGCTTTAATTTCCGTTTGAAAGTTAACATTTAGTTTGGTTTCCTTTGCTAATTAATAATTTTAATAATCATTAAATTTCCTACTTATTTCAACATTTTTTAAAATTGTCAAAGACAATTTAAACACTTCCTTCTTATTTTAACTTATTTTAGGATGATCAGAGACAAGACAATGTATATATATATACACTTTTCTTTAATTTAAACTTTACTCGTAATAAAAAAAAGCATTATAATTTTTACTGTATCATTTCTTGTATTTGGCGGCACATTTTAAAAATTTATCAGCACACAAAAGTGCCGCTGCACAGTGGTTGAGAATCATTGTCTTAGAGTATGGTACAAAAACCAGCAATGCGTTTAAGTTAAATTTTTTATTACGTGATTTTTACTATATGCATGGAAGTAAGAACTGTAATTTTGAAAACCAGAATATGATGGGAAATTTTTTTAAATGAATGGCTTAAATATTGTGGTTTTATTAACCAGATTTATGGTTCTTTTTTTTAACCCGAAATTTCAGCAGCATACAGTACGGTAATTTCATCAGAGTTTTTTTCTCAATGAGAAAACTAATGCCCATAATAATAATCTATACTAAAATACTTTTCGAATAAATTCGCAATAAAAATTTAAAGGATACTTACTTTAGGGATATATTTTAATTTCTGCGCATCGTTTTTGGAAGCAATTGTAGACCAGATTATGGTTCGTTAGGAAAAGGAAACGCCTTGTTCATGGCCTTGAATTATAAAATGATGTCCATATTGATGACAAAGCAGTATTCTTGCAAAACTCAAATTTATTCAATAGTTTCAAAATCTTGATTTACCGACACAAATCTCAAATTTGAGTTTTTTTAGGAACCTAATTTTAACTTTTGTACTTTAGAATTGCTGAGTTATGTCACAGAAATTGTGTCGTTTTTCAATTTTAATTATAAAGATACGTCATTACCTAGTTTGAATGCCGTGAAGCTAAAAATGGATTCAAGGTACCTAAAAAAATACAGAAAGTTTTTATTGGATAACGTCAGTGATGAATAATACAGAATTAGAAAAATTACATTGCTTAAATGAACTTGAAAAAAATGCTGAATAACTTTGCTTAAGATAAGAATCTTTGCAAGTCTTCCTATTTAATTTTATTCATCCATTTGTCAACGGATAAGAATGATAAATAATCTTCTTTCGTTTCAAATATTTGAAATTCTGCAAGAAGTTTAATAAATAAATTGTTTCGGAATTATATAAGTATTTTCAGAAACACTTCTACCTTTTATTTAACTAAATATTTGATATTTTTATCATATAAACAAATTCTTCAATTAATGTTTCCAAACAACTATCAGAAATTATGATTTAACTTAACTGTTTTTGATAATGAGAGTTCTAGTTCTTATATAAATAATGTAATATATTAGTAGTTGTTATTAACCACTAAATCTTGTTTTTTTTTCTTCTGGTCGTATGCCTATTTAGGCAGTGGGGGTGTGATTGGTCCTGTTTTTCAGTGGCGCCATCTATGGCCACGCCATTCACACAACCCGTTAATAGGGCAGGCCACATTCACACACAAAGGAGAAGGGACATAGAACACAGAGAGAGAGAGAAACATTCATGCCTTGCCCGGGATTTGAACCCAGGACCTTTCGGATGCAAGGACAGTTCCCTGCCCCCTACACAGGCCGGTCGGCACTAAATCTTGTTATTTTCTGTATTTAATAAATTAATGAGAAGAAAGTAAATAACGACAATTAATTTTACTAAATTTTTGTCAACAGTAAACCCTCAAATGAAATTGTTTTTTTGAATTAGGAAGAGGGTGCCACCAGGGTGTTCCATAAAGATCACCCTTAATATATATTTTTAGAATCCTTGTCAAATGTGATGACATTTGGGCTCACAAATTGATATTCAAATGAAGAAGAAATAAAAAAAAACAATATCGAACTCTGGCTATTCTCAATTAATAAAAGTGGGTGAACTTAATGAAAAAATCCTGTTTGATTTTCTGTTAAAATTTTGCAGTTTCTTGAATAATCGATTTCCTTCTTCTCTTGAATCTTCAATTCTTTGGAGGATTCTTCTTTTGAATAATCGATCCTTTGTATTTCTTTTTCCTTATACTTTATTTATTGAGTGAAAAAAATTGGGAAAAAAAAGGAAATAATTGCCTGAACTTATAAACAGAACACATTTTAAATATTGAATATTTGTTTAACTTTTCTTAAAGTATCTTTTCAGATATTTTATTTTATTTTTATCTGTCGTTGAACAGCCGACCCAATTTTGGGTTAACGACTACTAATGTTTCGCGAATGAATTTTCAATTATCAGACATGATTTATTAAAAATGATGATAATCATCGTTTTCATGATCAGCAAAAAGGCCTCATCCTTTAAATGAGGAAAGCCTAAATTAACAGCTATGAATAACTGTTAAAAGAGTATATACACAGAACAGCCATTACATTATGACCACCCTCCATCTATAACAATGGGCTCGCCCAGGTTTTCATGATTTCCTGCCCAGGAACAATGTTTTCATGGGGCACATTAGGACCCATGATCCTCATAGAACAATCCCTGACGTCTGTAAGCTACTTGAACATAGTTGCAGACCAGGTTCACCTATTCATGGCAACAGTTTTTCCTGCGGGGGATGGTGTTTACCAACAGGATAATGCACCATGTCATAAGGGTCGAATCGTCATGAATTGGTTCGAGGAACATTCCGGTGACTTTCAAGTCATGTCTTGACCCCCAAATTCACCTGACCTTAATCCAATAGAGCATTTGTGGTCCTACTTGGAAAACCAAATTCGTGCTGCCACGCTACCCTCTCATAATGTGAGGGAATTGCAGGATCAGTTGGTGAGCGTTTGGTACCAGACTACCTATCAGCACCTTGTGGAATCAATGCCACTGCGGGTGCTAGCAGTTTTGAGGGCTAAAGGTCGCCCTACATGTTATTAGCAGGGTGTTCATAATTTGTGTAATTTTCAAAAGAATTCGACGGTGTAAAATAACCGTAAGTTTGTCTAAAGCAAAAAACACAGTGAATAAGGCACACATAAAAGTACATAAATGGACTGTAACGAATGAAGCTATACTGAAGAGATAGTTTTTATAAAAAAATATATTTGACACATCAACCACACACATCAACAAGCAAAAATAAATTGAAACACCCTTAACGGCTCAGTATAAACAACTCACTTTCCAATATTCCAAAAATTGTCTCGTTCTTTTTCTTTTTTTCGTTATCACATTGTATATTTTGCTGTACTGTTTGTCAAACTGGCCGGGATAGCCTGGTCGGTAGGGCGCTGGGCCCATGTCCGAGAATTCGTGGGTTCGAAACCCGCCGGCCGAAGACTTCCCGTGTAGTTGGTGACTGATGCACGTAAAAATTCTGTCGAGTCTCAAAGTCCTCCATGTTTCCAGAACAAATCAATACCTCTGGGGGTACTGGATTGGAGATCGATCGTTCTCTGATTCGGGTTAAAATTACGATCTGTGGATGAATGAATGGATGTATGAATGGGTCCGCCTTATAAACAGGTGTGGCGTATGATGTGGCAGAAGTAGAATTCTTGGCCATAGATGGCGCCACAGAAAAGCAAGAAGCTCACCCTCTGCCTTAAATCTGCTCGGTTTCACCAAGCAGGCTTGCTAGTATGGCAAGTGGCATTAGAACCAACCAACTGTTTGTCAATTCAGGCTTTTGTTAACAAGGTATATTTTTCGATATTTTTAGGAATCTAGAGGACATACTATCTTTTCGGCTGTGTAAAGAAAAATCTCATTCAGTGTCCAAGCACCAAGCAAGATGGTAAAGAAGTAAGAGAGGCAAACACGTACAAAGTAGTTTAACCAATGGAGTCAGAGGAACAAGCTTGAACAAGAAAATAAATAGTGAGGAGAGAAATAGGTGCGAGGTGATTTTGCGGGTACCCTAGGGTGCAACAGAATAAAAATTTCATAACGTAGAATTTTTCAAACTATTAGAATTTTTCAAAATATATAATTACTTATATATAATTACTCCCAAAAATCATGTTCAGAAGCTCTAGAGCAGTGTTGAGTGATTTTAGCAGAAGGAAACTCAAACCTGTTATTTGAATTTCAGCCATGTAGAACGATCAAAGATACGTTAATGTATTGATTTTGGGCTTATATTTCGTGCTCTTTAAGTCGAAGGTTAAGGGTATGTTTCATTTGTCCAATGACCGCAAGGCTGAGCAGTGGTGGCTCAGGGGATAGAGCGTTCGTCTTCCAATGGAGTGAACCGGGTTCGAATCCCAACGATGGCTGGTCGATTAGAATTCCGAACCCAGCTCGCACCGGCTACAGTGCTGACGTAAAAATATCCTCAGGGGTAGACGGATTACGGGTTAGAGTCTCCTTGCCGTCAGGCAAAGCGTGGGAAGTTTTCGTTGTTTTCCTTTCCAAGTAATGCAAATGCAAATCAGTTCCAGCAAAAAGTCATTCACAAAGACAAATGTTTCCAATACTTGATCCAGGAGTTCTTTTGTCTTCTGAATCGGGTTCAAAATTACAAGGCTACGGAGTTGAAAATTAGTAGACGCGTGCCCGACAAATAGGATCAACTGATAAACGACGGTTATAAAATAAAATGTACGCAAGTCTACATTGACATAATTATTGCTATTCATGTCATCAATAGGGCCTTTAAGCTCGGCAAAAGTTAGCTTATTTACATGGGGGAAAACGACAATAAACTCAAATTAATTCAAAATCTTAAAAATTTAGGAACTGATTTTAGAATAATAAGATAAAACAATTAAATTATTAAAGTTCGAATTTGAGAATAAGGTGGATTGCGAGATTAATTTACTATAGGAAGAATCAATAATATTATGAGGGAAACCGCGGTATACAGAAACAGCTTTAACGGGACGCTATACTATGAGAAAAATTTTGTATCGCAAATTCTGTTTCATCTCCATAAGTGATTTAAAATTTAAAGTGTAGAAATAGGGAGTTCCGCTAAGCGTAGAGTAGGCCATCAAATTTTAAATGCAGAAAAAAAATCGAATTATTAATATACTAGCAAATTATTAAAAAAGAACTTCGTTAATTTCGTAATCCTAAAGTATTCTCTTCTAACTTGTTTTCATTTTGATATTTTGAAAATTTATCTTCAGAATTTGAAACTTCATCAACATGAAACTTCAAACAACATGAAACTTCATTTGTAGTTATGATTTTAAACGTGTTACTATGAAATTGAATAATTTAAAAACGACAGTAACTAAAATTAAAAAAAAGTTTCATACTGTAAAGCAAAATTGTGGAGAAAGGGTACTAATTCGTTGAGGATAAACAAAAAAAAAATACAAATGTTATAATTGACACCAATGAAAATTAGTTTTGGCAATATTTATTAATTGATGTAAAATAATAAGCTCTGTACTAAAAGGCAAATCTACTGAAGAGATATAAACCGAAAATGTAAACCTAATGAAGACTAATTCGTTAAAAAGCGTGTGAAAAAACGCAAATTATTATTGATGTCAATGATGTCTAATTAATTTTAGTAAAACGTAGCTTAGAGTGGGGTCAATTGTAAAATTTTTTACTTAACTATTTTTAACTAACAAAAAGTCCAATATATTATTAGTATTAATTGACAGACGAGTAAAGTAGACTATCCTCTACTAGAAAATAAATACCTTATTTTAAACGTTATTATATTAGTTATTAACAATTTTTGACAGTCGTGCACTTGTTACAATTGTCCCCACTTACGGGGTCAATTGTAACAGTTTATAAACTTAACTAAAACATAGTTAACTATACATATTATCACAGTTGTGATATATTTTTTTACTGATCAAAATAGTAGTGATATTTTAGGAGTAAAAATAATAATGAGCAGAGGCCTAAAGGGTTAAACTTTTAACCTTAAGGGGTTAAAAATTTTAATTTATGCTGTGAAAGGTGACTAATAAAATAATGCACATGCAACATAATATAAATGATATAGGAAACTATTGGTGGTTC